GCTAGCTCTTTGTCTTTAGTTGATTTATATTTACGCTGAAATTCAACACAAAATTGCTTAGTCTGAAATTTAAAAAGATCCCAATTGGCTAGAGAAAGATCTTCCCCAACAAGATAAGAAAAAGTATTGTAAACGGATTTAAAATCACTAATAAAATTGAAACTGGTAACACTGGAGTTGTTACACTTCCAGTATCCCTTTCCAATTGAAATGCTAGAATTTAAAAGTAAGGAAAAGGAAATACAATGGTGATCTGAAAATATTAACGGCTGAGACTGAAAGTTGCTAGTAGCAGTTAACGAATTAGTCCTAGCATAAAACCTATCCAACCTACAGGAAACAGACGAGCTGCTCAACGTGTGAAGGATTTTATTCGGGTGATGAAACCGGAAAACATCTTTAAAATTAAAATTTAACTTTAAATTATTGAAAATAGAACAACTTGAAGAAAGTTTATCAGTATTACCACCAGTTTTGGCTAAAATGTTGTTTTCAACGAAATTAAAATCACCACCAAAAATAACTAATCTGGAAGAGACCAAAAATCTTTCCAGACACTTAATAAAAACATTTCTATCCGAAGGTGTATTCGGACAATATACGTTTATTAATCTTATAGGACATTCATTAATTTCAATGTCTAAAACAACCTGGCGCCCCTCTAGATCAAAGTGAAACTTGTCTATTGTGTAACTGAAATTATGTTTAAGGAGTATTGCTGTACCAGAGCTGTTATTAGTATCAAAGGACCAAAAACATTTATAGTTAAGAACACATTCAAAACGCTTAGCTACGGAAAGACTTGAGACATGCGTCTCCTGCAAAAATACAATATGGAATTGTTCAAGGGACAAAAGGTTTTGTAAATAAAGTATTTTGTTGGGCCCTAACAACCCATTGCAGTTAATGGTCGCGATGGTTAACGCCATTGCTGTAAGGTAAGGTAAGTATAAAAAAAATAAAGAAAACACCAGGTAAGTACAGGTAAGCAAGTTAATCAGGTCAGGGAGTCCTCATCGGAGAACTCCCCCTCTGACACCATACCCTCCCCATTGGACGAACCACCGGGAGTTAAACTGCCGAGCACTGAGTTTAGTCTCTCAGTGTCATGGACTTTACCAAACTGAATGCAG